TAATTAATTTAATATATTTATACGTCAAGTAAAAAGTTTTTGAACAAATATAATATATTTTTTAAAAGATAATATTTTTTTGGTAAAAAGAAACAATTCTTATTTTTTTTTTTTAAAACATATAATTTTTTAAAAATATTAGCGAGATAAGTTGTGTTCTACTAGTTTTATTGATATTGGTATATTAATGAATAATTCATAATTTTTTTAATTCAGTTAATACATTTATTAAATAACATGTAAAATATCTAAATATTAAAATTAAAAATACAATATTTAATAAGAACTAGTAGATGTTATAATAAAATAATTTTGAAAGTATAATAATGTAGTAAGAAAGTCACATCACTATAGTATATGTGGACAACCTACGTGGACAATGGGGTGACATAGAAACCTAGTAGGGCAAAATGCGCAAAATAGCAACCTACTTTCACAAATTTCCTTATTATAGCATTCTACTTTCAGTTTTTCTTATTACATCAATGTATTTTCAAAATATTTTTTATTAGGGCATTGTACTTTCAAAAATTTACCCATTATAGCATTGGGTAACCTTTTAAATTAAATTTACCTACAAACACCATTCTTTGGACCGGATCTCCTTCTCTGATAATCTGTGAGGCATCAAGTACAAATGTTTTGTTAACTTAATTTTTCGAAACAACGTGCACCTGCACTGTTTATTTGTTAGTTGGGTTTGTGTGACGACATATATATACATATATATATGTCTATATATGTAGTGGTGTAATCTTAAGAAGAACCTGAAAGACATGAGACCCCAAAGAAGAGAGTGGAAAATAGTTGCAGGTGATGTGCAGCTTGTGTTGGGTTTCACCGCCGGTAAGATGGGTCTCGGTGGGGCGTGTGTAAGTGTGTATATGATAAATGGGAGGTCGGTAGGTTTTGGGTAATGGGGTCCGGTGTTGTGTCGATGGTTAAGAGAAGGCAAAACTAAGGTGATAGTTTGTTTTTTAAGAGGTGCTGAAGTTCGAAGTCTTACTTATGATTAATAAAAATGGTGTTGAAGTCTGAAATCTAAATCAATAGTAAAGTAATTTTATAATAAAGTAATTTTGAAAGTACAATGCTGTAATAAAAAATGTCATGTCAGCACTATCGTACACGTGTACAGCCTACGTGGACAATGAGGTGGCAAATAAACCTGGTATAATAGGTAAATTTAATTTAAAAGGTTACCCAATACTATAATGGGTAAATTTTTGAAAATACAATGCCCTAATAAAAAATATTTTGAAAGTACATTGCTGTAATAAGAAAAACTGAAAGTAGAATGCTATAATAAGGAAATTTGTGAAAGTAGGTTGCTATTTTACGCATTTTGCCCAACCTAGTATAATGGGTAAATTTAAATCAAAAGGTTACCCAATGCTATAATGGGTAAATTTTTCAAAGTACAATGTCCTAATAAAAAATAATTTTTGGAAGTATATTGCTATAATAAGAAAAACTGAAAGTACAATGCTATAATAAA